CAGGTCTTACAATAAAGTAATCAAGACAGTAGGGTGTTCACAAAATAACAACGTTAATGATGATAGGTAAAAGATTAATCAAAGAAGATATAGACTCCAAAAATATGCTCAGCTATATGTTCAATATAGAGTTATAAAAATATCTTCAACTGGTATTTTAAAACAAAATAAAAGCACAATAAGAGAAAGGATAGTTTTCTCACTAAATGGTGTAGAAAAGTAGACATCTAAATACAAAACAAGGAATCTAAACAAAGACCTCACACTTTTCACAAAAATTAACTCATAAAATATTGTAGATCTAAATGTAAAACACTAAATGATAAAAATCCCACAAACTAATACATKAGAAAAAATCTAGGTGTTCTTTGGTTTTGGAAATGCAATTACCRAAGGCACAATTCTTGAAAGAAAAAAATACTTGATAATACTTTATCAACATTAAAAATTAAGGCTTTATCAAAGACACTGTGAAGCAAATTAGAAGAAAACCAGATTAGAAGAAAACATTTGTAAAACACACACATGACATACTCTATCATACAATTTAGCAATCATGCTTCCTAATATTTAACCAAATTAGTTAAAAAATATAACCACAAAAGTCCCTGCACATGCATGTTTATAACAGTTTTATAATTGCCAAAATTAGGAGCAATGAAGATGATCTTCAGTGGGTACACAGATGAATAAAATGTACATTCAGACAATAGAATATTATTTGGCTAAAATAAATGAGCTCTAAGCCATAAAGAAATGGCATAGCCTCAAATGCATATTAATAAGTGATAGAAGATAATCTGAAAATTCTGATCACTGTATTTTTCCAATTACATGGCATTATATAAAGACAAAACTATGAACACTATTTAAAAAATCAGTTGTTGCCAGGGGGAAAGGGAGGGAACAGTCATAGGTAGAGCATAGATTTTCAGGACAGTGAAAATTAGTTTATGATACTGTGCTAGAGGATACATGTTATTATACATTAGGCAAAACCTACGGAATGTATAGCACCAAGAGTGGAATCTAATATAAACAACMGACTTTGGGTAAGAACGGGGTTACCAAAGTAATTCTTCCACTCTGGCTGAGTGGAGCAGGTTGTGTGCAGAGAGGCAAGGAGTATATGGGAAATCACTGTGCTTTCCATTCACAAGAACATTAAAGTCCATTAATARTAAAAAGAATGTTAAGGAAATCCTACAGAATAAGGAATAAGATTAYCTTTTTTGCAATATGTATATTTGACAATGTTTTAAAATCCAGAATTAAAAAGAAGTCCTAAAATTCAATAACAAAAGCTTTAAAACAATCCTACAAAAATGGGTCAAAGATTTCAACAGCTTTTTCCCCAAAGATAGACAAAGGGCTAATAAACTCACAAAAAGATGCTCAACATCATTAATCATTAGGGAAATGCCAATTAACGTCACTATTAGATTCTACTTATATCCAGTAGGATGGCTATAATGAAAAATTAAAAAGGAAAATAGCAAGTCCCAGACCTCTTTCAAGAATTCATTGAATTCATTCATCTTCTCAGCCTGGCCTACCCTTATCATGCTATTTATACATACACACATAYGTTTGTATGTTATATATGTGTGTATTTCTGTGTGGTTGCATATTTATCTATCTATAAGGATGATATGTTTTTTTCTAATTAACATGAATATATAATATATGTTCATGAAAAATTTTGTTTTATTTACTAATGAATAGTAGATATCTTAAACATTGCCTGACATGTAGTAACTACTTAGTAAATATGTATTAAATCAATTTTATATTTCTATCTTTTCTGTTTCCCTTGAGAACTGATAGGGTTTTAAAAATCTTATCAGTCTTTCAAAYCCTATCTTGGACTTGTGACCTTTTTTCATTAGTTTGTGTTACTAAATAGTTTCTAATATGAGGATATGAGGATATAATTTTTATTCTAAGTATTARCTTAACAAGATCCACAGGTTTTGTTATGAAGTATTTTATAACTCTTTATATGCTCTTTCAGAACATTTTCTAATGTTATTGTGATTTGGGAGGTAGATATGAGTTATTAAAGCTACATTCAAATCCTCACCAGTAGAGATTTTCTAGGAATTGTCTTGTAAATAATTTCCAGCCTAATTTAAAATACAATTTCATACACATATTATAATAATTTAATTCATCAAAAAATTTGAAATGTGCTTAATACTTAAAAAGAACCTTTTATTTTTATGATGTTATATTTGTGTTTAAAAATAATAGATATCTGCAGTTGGGGTGTGTGTTTGTGTGTGTGTGTGTGTGTGTGTGTGTGTGTGTGTGTGTGTTATATAATATATATATGTCTCCATTAGGTTCAGGGTACTAACCAACTATGTCAATCAAATGCCCTACATTTTTACTCATCACAATACAGAATTAAATTATTCAGAGATTGCCTAAAATACTCTTAATTATAAATCAAAAATAAAGTTGATACAAAARCAAAAATGGTTATTCTCCAAATGAGTCTTTATATCAATAGTAGTTATATTCAAATAAATATTTACAGTTCTTTATAGTTCCAATTATACAAATCATTTTCAATATCTCCTGTATTTTAGAAATGCTATTCAAATTACAAATAAAAATTCATTTTTTTCTGATATATTTTGGTTTTAGAGTCTACATAGATCTATAGAAAATTAAAGCAGCAAGTACTTTTATAATTGATTGTTGTATTCTCCTCCACCAAAGTCTACGCTTTTTAAAAAAGGTTCTTTTTCATTCTTTCTGACATTTCTAGATTGTACATTTCTACCTAATCATATTTCAAAAGTTTTCTCTAGTTGTGATACATGTTCAACCTTAGAATTCTCAAAAAGAAAGAAATAAAAGAAAAATAATAAAACAAAAGAAAGAAAGAGTAGACATTATGTCCAAATACTTGATTGGTTGCCAGCCAAATTTCAGTTRCTATAGTAATTCTTTTAATTTTTTCTTCATATTCTTCTGGGTCTAATTAGAACATCAAAGTTTATAGTGTATGCAGGATAATAACACCACTCATAATTCCAATGGCAGATTCTAGCCACTCTATAATTAAAACATAACATTTAAGACCAGTAGCCTGGGAATTTGGTTGATCTTTCAAGTGCATAATAAAAATAAGCAATGCTAAATTAAAATGAAGATTCTTATGGAATAAAAAACACTGTCAAAATTGAGGTCACTTTTAGGTTTTCATTTCTAACTTTTGTTTATTTGTTCTAAGGAGTTGGAAAAGTTTTCCTTTTTCTATGCAGTGTGTGGAAGTAATTCAGCTTCCTTGCACCAGTGTTAATGAAATAAGTAGGTCTAAAAAAAAAAAAAGAGATTTTGTAATTCAGGTCACCACAAAGCACCTTCTGGTACAACTTTCCCTCCAAAGGGTTAAGTTAGTTTAGTGCTTATGTTTTTATAAAACAATTACCAAGACAAAATTTTTCAATACAATTCTGATACCCTTAGTCATCATCATATTTTCCCAAATAGAAAAACCAAGAAYGATTCATGACTCCTGAACCTAAATATAAAAAGAAAAATTTAGCCATAAATGAATTGATATTTTAAGTACTGAAAACTGAAGTACTGAAAATCACATTTAATTACATCTCTGTGAAAGATACCTAGCAACATTACAAATAAAAATCTAAAGCATAACATCTGATTTATTTAACAACATAATAGATCTGTGTGATATTGAAATTAAAATGGCAATGAAATAACTGTATAAGCATTTGATGCAAAGTTAACTAAAACGTAGCAGAAAGTATTTGATGGTAAAGATCAATGCTAGTACAAAATTCAAGATAAACCAAGTATTTTGCTGAGCTTACATATGATAAAAATAGACATTATAAGAAATAATACTCACAATTCAAGGAACAAATAGCTATTTGATTTAAAGAGRACTTCATTATCTTTTTAAACATTGGATTCTTACACAGAAGTATTATGGTAGCTTGGGCACAGCAAAGGATCATAAATCAAAACACCTGGGTCCTAGGACCAACTTTGTTAGCATTAGTTGTAGGAAGTTTTGAAAAAAATCTTACCCATTCTTATTGGTACTTTCATTTATGAAAAGCATAATTAATATCTGGCCCACTTACCTCTCAGGGCTTCTGTGCAGATCAAGTGGAGATCAGTTAAGGGCTTTGAAAGTTAAAAGTTCTACCTAAGTTGGAGCTCTTGCTATACTGAAGTAGTTTTTGATAACTCTAACCTAAGTTTGGTTTCAAGAAGCAAATAAAACCACACTGCTATATCCTGGCTCAGATATTATTATAAGTAATAGTGGAATAACTTGTCAACCTTCATCTTGACAATTTATATTCACCTCATTTGCAACTAAATGAAGCAGCGATTGGACTGTGCTACACCATTTTATAGGCTTACCAGGATGAGCACATATGGTCCATTTAGCGGAGGGTATTTTAATAGGTAGCGTTTGTTCTGAGTTGATCTCCTACTGCAATGGTTTTACATAGCTGATCTAAATCTTCATTGGGAGATCACTTTGTCCATTTGATATATTATCAGAGTAATTTTGTTTATCAGCTTATCACATATGTTTGCACACAGAAATGACAACCCTCTGAAATGCTTCAAAGTACAGAGGTTCACCAACCCCAAATGAATTGACTTTGATGGATGTTTTGCTTCTTTTTTTCCAGCTAATTTCTTTCAGATAATAAATACTTATTTCTGTTCTGTTTTTCTTTGAACATAGCAATCTAATTTAACTCCAATTTAACTCCAATTACTTCATACATACAMACAAAAGCCATCAATTATTTTGAAATAAATTATGGCTCAAAATTAGGTATGAAAAGGGAGAAGGGAATGTATCTAAATAGATAAATCACGTCACCTGGATTCGCTTACTGAGACGTACSTACACTTTAAATTTCAACAAGGAACACACCACCTTGAGTAAGACTGGGGAGATGAAAGCATAAGCAAGGACATAGAACACTTGAACTTACGGCAAAGGTAAGTAGTTTCATCTGAATTATCAGCACAGTCATTCACAAAATCACACAGCTTCTCCTTTGCGATGCACTGCTTGTTTGCACACGTGAACTCTTCAGCAGTACACTTTCTGTCTGGGCTAAGTAAGGGGGAACAATCTTGAAAGGACACATCATCCACTGCAACATCTCCTATGTAACTGACACCACGTTTTGCCCTGAAGACAATCTAAAAAGAAAAAAAAAAGAAAAGGAAAAGTTACTTAGAGTTGAAACTGTCAATCAAGAAGTTCAAAAGATAGAGGCAACAAATAGATCAAGCACATCAAACTTGAGTCTGATAAAAATACCTCCATAATGAAAGTGACCCAGGAAACTTAAGGGCCATCAAAGGTTTCTGCCATTCTCAACACCTAAGAYTGTGAGATGTGCAACACTGTTGTGTGTCTAGATGGTTAGGACATGCAGCTTGAAAAACTGGCAGGAGTCATAACAAACTACCAGTGCCAAAACTAGACCTGCTCATTTCTTAGAGCCTCATCATACATGGAAGCAGGAGGATCAACGGTTAATAAAGTACCAAGAGAAATTATGTACAAGCACATCCTTTATTTTGCTCAGTTTTTGCTCTTCTTCAGATCTAGCCACCCCAGAGGATTTGAGAGTTAAAAGACATCAAGCCTCAMGGCCATGAGTTTTGCTAAAATCAGCCAAATCTTTGGAATTGAAGCAATTTTGATTTGCCTTTGATTAATGTATGTGATGAATGGAATCCCATGTGTGCTACTTTTTAAAAGCGGTTTTCCATTTGTATATACTTCAATAGATCAGAATTGATAAAAAATAATAAGAGATACTAAAATTTTCAGAAAATCTATCGTTGGTTTGTAACAATACCTAACTGCTTGGAATGACAAAGAACACTGTTTCAGAGAACATGAAGAGTCACATATTGTTTATTTTCAGAATTCCAAGTGATTCATTCAGTGTTTCTCTTAAATTCCACTGCAAGCTAAATATGGACATGCTAAAGTAAGAAATATTTTTAAGTCAGTTAGAACAAGACGTAAAGATTTTCCTTATTGATTTTGCACAAATTACTTACTGTTACTAATCTCCTAAACAAATTTTAACCAATTCTRAAAAAAACTTTTCTTGGAAGAAGGAATTTTAGTTTTTCCTTAAAATGAGATGTTTTTATATTTGTGTGAACATGAGTGTTTTCTTTTCAAGGTGAGAGGACAGAGTAATTGAAATAATGTTTCACATTATTAAAAGAAAATCATAATAGTTTTTGAATATTGAATTTCCCTAAAGGAAAACTGTTCTTCATAGTAGATGAGCCAGAAAAGATCAATATATTTGTGAAATAGAAGAGGAGCTTAGAAGGCATTAAAAGGTTAACTAGAAGAAAATGATAGGAACTACAACTCTCTTACAAGTGAAATTGAGCACTGGAAAAAAATTGATATACAAAGTGAAAAGATATTCTATTATCTGGATTGTCTAAAAATTTAAATATGTGACATTATGCTTTCTGAATACCAAAGTGCAGTAACTAATGAGTGTTTCACGATTAATCTGTTTACCTGCTGTAATCCCAATACAATCTCAGTTGTCAATCACGTTCAAATGATTGAATCATTATTTCTCAATTTTTTTTATAGTGTGGGTTGAAATTTCATAGACATAAGATTGACTCTTAAATGTTCTTAAAATAAGTAATTGTACTGCTCCTTTCAGGCAGAGTAAAATCTAGGTCAAATATATTAATAAAATTGAAAGGCAATATAGAAGAACAGTTGGATTACAGATGGCCTGCCTACATTTCAACTCTGTCTCTGCATTTGGTACTTTATAAATAACTAGGTCAAGTTACTTAACTTTCAGGCATTTCTGTACTTTTATCAGTAGGATGAAGGTATAGTTTTAATAATATGTACTTCATAGGATTATTGGACAAATAAAATGTGTCAATATTTTTAAATTCATAGAAAATATATCTAGCATTTATTAAGTWCAATATAAGAGTGCTCTGATTACAAAATTATTACAATGAAAGATTTTGTTCGAATATAAGAGTTTTTASATAAAAACCATACAAACTTCCAACTTTTGCTTTAGTATGAAATTTTTTATTTTATCTTATGCTTTTACTCAGGGTTACAGCACTCATCTCTCTGAGGCTAATGGAAATGGTTATTGTAAGAACAGAAGAATTGTGAGCAGTGTGATAATTCATCATGGTATATTCCAGGAATTCTAATGCACTTTGCACAGAGTAGATGCTCAATAAGGGCAGCAGTGAGTAATATGAAAAAGCAAGTACTCATAAGCTATTAATATTTAAAATTCAAAKAACTTGAGTCTACTTCTCTTCCATTAGATTTCAATGTGAAAATTATAGATTTTCAAAAAGCCAAATTTATAAATGATTCCACTTGCTGAAACTCCCCTTTGTTATTATGAACATACATGTTATCATATAAACATTCCATGTGCACAAAACTAAGTAAGAATTTATTGCCTGGGATGGAAGCCTGTGTCTTCTGGCAGCAGAACCTTCTGCATATTCTTGCTAAGGATTCTTCTTGCCTCCACTTGAATATTTAGACTCATTTTAACAATAAATTTTATATTGTATAAGAGCATTAAATTGCTATCCAATCTTTACATGTTTAGATTGGACTTCATATCCTAAATTAGCTACAAATGATTCACAAAGAAACTGTATACTACAGTAAGAGGAAAAAGTCATGGGATTTTATTATGCATATCACCTGGGAATTGGACATAATGCTATATCAATATAAACTACTCTATCCAGCCTGTGTTTCCATCCGARTTGAAGGGGGCTCACCTATCAGAGAAAGCTCATGCCTGTAAATATATTTACTGAACATTCATAGTCATACCTTGGTTATCTGTGCTACAATATTTAGTAAATATCTTATCCCTTCTATATAGAGTCCAGTAGTTTTAATGCCRTCAAATTAAGTTCCAGGTAATTAAGACAAAAAGAAAATGTCCTCCTAATAAATAGTTCTGGATTCTTGCTCTGCAAATCCAAATCTTAACAAATCTTACCAGCAAAGCCTCGTGTTCCAAGCAAATGCCCATGAAAGCTATGGCCCCTGGAGCTCTCGTTTGCTTGATAACCCATAAAAAATAAAACTTGTACCAAATATCTAGGCACATAATTATTTTCAGTGGAAACATTTTAATCTATGTCCCACTTGAATTTTAATATAGCTTGTATGTCTTAACCTCTATTATTATTGTAATCTATTTGAAGTCAAATGTAGCATAATATAATATTATGACTCTCCAAATAWTTTTGAATTATATAAACCTTACATATAATAAGGTTCAATCCTATATAAAGTGCTTTTAGAAAATTGCCTTTCAAGTCACATTTGGAACAACTATACCATGATCTTTGAGAATTTATTTTCAGAATCAAGGGAGGTATTCTTTATATGTGAGAAGTGGACTAGGGGGTACAGGAAAGTTGCCATTCAAATTAAATGTTCCTAGAAGTATGTCTGTCTAATTGGGAGAACTTAGGGTTRTCTAGAATTGTAAATTTCTTATGGAAAGTACTATATGGAGTGTTAAATGCTGGGCCTTCACATAACGCTTCAAATTAGAAATGGGAAGACTTAGATTGAGTGGAGGAAATAAATTAGCATGAAAGGAAAAATTAACAAAAGGCTCTCTTGACAAAGTTAGTTGGATTACAAACCTGTGTGTAGGAATGAATGCCTAAAAAGACTTCTACTTTCCGCCACTGTGCACCTTGCTGCCCCGTTTGAGCCCACACTTTAGAAGTCACATTGCCTTTCTTGATGAGTACCTGAGGAGACAAATCAAGTAATAGGTATTGAAATATTGTGTCTTAACAAATTTTAAACGTGTGGAATTTTCCAAGTTATTCTTAAAATTTTTAATATCTATCTCACGTCCCTAAGAGAAAAGATGAGACATTTTTCATTTGTTTTTGACTATGAAGGTGCAAGAATGTGCCCTCGGGGTATCTCAAAAGCTTTGAACAATAAAGGTGTACATGAATATCTGTCAGTCAAGTACTAAGCTATCTGGGAACTATTTTATTAGGAACTCAACTACATTAGTTGTATAAAATTTGACAGCAGTTAACAGTTGACATCTTATATATTAAATAATATACTTAAATGGAAAATAATATGAAAWTACTTCCTAAAATACTCTGCTGAGAAAGACTTTCCTTATTCAATTAGTTAAAGGAGGCAGTGACAATGTGAGCTATTTAACTATAACATCACAGATGAGTGAATGAGTGATATGGGCACAGCACTGTAAAGTAAGAGCTCCCTGTTCTACAGCATTGAAAAGAACAAATCTCATCAGTACCTGCAAAATAGTTTGAATCTAAATGTCCCTCAAAGGTCCATGTGTTAAAGCACACGGGAARCTATCCTTGAAATATGTAAGGACTTTTTTTAGCATCAAAGCCAGAGAGGGGACAGGTCTGGCCTTGGAAACTTTCCATGGCACTCCCACCGAGACAGACTGCCCAATGTACATGACCTTCTCCTCTGCTCTGCAAGAAAGGTCTTRTGCAGCTGCATCCAAGATAGGAGTAACCTGTTAGAAACTGAGCAGCCTATCTGYCCCCACCTCTATCCTATTTTGGTGAAGAACGTCCTATAGAACTTCTTTGATTTTTTTCCCCCATATAAATAAAGTGGGCGCCTTTCTTTGTTAGAATCTGGACCTGTCTGGTCAGCTTGCTTGCCCTGCCCCTGCTTTGAAACTACCTTCTGTATTCTGGGGTTATTTTGCCATTCTATTTTTCTTAGCTTTTATTTCTCAGCCAGCCCATTCCACGGAAGGACACCCCAGAGGTAATGAAACCTTTAACAGGTGGGACTTATAGGAAAGTCTTAGATCATTGGTGAGGAGAGCCCTTGAAGAAGACAGAAGRATCCCAGCACCTTCTTCTTTCTCTCTTTTGTATCCTAGCCATGAAATGAGACATTTTGCTCTACAATGCACTCCTGAAATAATGTGTTCCCTCTCTATTGACCCCAAAACAATGGGATCAATTGGTTACAGGCTGGAACTTCCAAAGCAGGAACAAAAATAAACCTTTTTCTATAAATTGATTAACTCAGGTATTTGTTATAATGATGGAAAACTGAGTAACATAGTACTAACTCTCAACTCCAAAGAAAAAACTACATTAGTTTCATTAGACAAATAATTTTGGCTCTTCTTTTAGAATGACACTAAATAAGCCATCAGGAAAGAGCAGAATAATTCTACATCTGAAAATAATCAATTAATACAGCCTATTTAATTAYATCACAACATACTTTTTAAAAATACAATTTGTACAACTAAAGAATTATTCAGATATAGTTTTGAAGGTTTAGACTTATTATTTTTTTATTTGTTCTGTTTAGTTATACATGATGGTTGAATGTTTTTTAACATATCATACATATATGGAGTTGACTTTTAAAAGTGAAAATTATTTTTAATGATATTATAATTTTTAACCTAAAATCACATGAATTTTTTTTATATGATTAGAATTTCCAGAGTAAATGTTGCTAGGAAAAAAAATCACCAAATTCTTGGTCTATAAAATTCAAGATAATTAAAAATATTACCAAAATMAAAAAATATAATTTCTTACCAATAAAATAAGATGATAATTGAAAAATACTGAAAATAATATATAGAAACCAGGTATGGTGGTGCATGCCTGTAATCCCAGTGGCTCAGTAGGCTGAGGTAGAAGGATAGTGAGTTCAAAGGCAGTCTTAGCAAAGGCAAAGTACTCAGCAACTCAGTGAGACCCTGTATCTAAATAAAATATAAAATAGGGCTGGGGATGTGGCTCAGTGGTCGAGTGTTCAATCCCTGATACTCCCTAAAATAATAATAATATATAGTAAAATATCATCTTTGTACGATTATCACAGTAGTACAAACTACTATGCATTCAAGCAACATATTAATAATACAAAACTTAATGTTATTTATTAGGTCAAGCATAAAAATAAGGATATCATTGCTATTTTAATTATCTGTTAGTTGTTTATAAATTTTTAATTCATAATATTCCATTCACTAATACAAGTTCTTATTCTGAAAAGATAAAAGCATGTTTATAATCATTAATCTTACCCACAAACTTCACCAGCTAAATAATGTTTTACTAATGAAAACTCTATAGTAGGCTATTTTGATTGTTTTGGATGAAATCAATTTTAAAAAGTCAATGTAAACCAAAAGCATAAATTATAATCCATAAGACTATGTGAACACTTTTAAATTAATAAAACACACACAGGCATATATACATACAAATATACTTTCAAACTGCTTTTTGTAAAACATTTAACCTGTCATAGAGTTTGAAATTAATCTATAAGTTTATTGTTTCTGATTTTTAAAAAAATCTAATAGCATTTTTTAAAATGTTTATGTTATTTAGAAAACTGATAGTTGATAATGGCCAGGAAAGTTCTAGAAAATAATCAATAATAAAATGGACGAGGAAATTCTCAGCATAAATATTGCAATAAACCTATTAGAAAAGAAGTGGTTAAGCAGAAGGTTGGCAGTCTCTTTCTTTGTATASAGGAAGAAATGGAAGGTTACCTAAGTCTCATCTTGTAGCAAATGTGCTAAACACAAATTTAATTGGCAAAATAAACTAACAGCATGTGAAAGGAAGAGAGTCTTGATAGCTTGCTTTTAGCAAGATTGTCCTGGTCTAAAACTACTCATGGTAAATAATTCTGGGATGTGTGGATTTATTTTTCAGACATGGCTGCCTAGAAAACAGCCCCTAGGCTATGAAAATGAGTCTGAATGGAGATGCTAYAAAAACTAGTTGGTTTCCTCTGTGTAAGTGATATATATGTTTATGCACATTACCCATGGAATCTTACCCTATGTACTCATACATGTCCAGGATGAAAAAAAAAAGGACTTAGGGATCCATATTAATATTCTAGAAAAATGTCTCCATTTTGCCAGTATATCTTTGTCTACCAAAAGCCGCCACAAAGCTAAGCAGAAATAGTTACTTCCAGAGAAACAGCAGGATAAAAATGAGTTTGGACTTTATAGGTCAGAAAGGAAGAAAATGCTCAAGGAATAATGAGGCTTGTTAAAGAGATAAGGAGGCCAGTTTAAAGGGACTCTTGTGACATAATCTGGGACAATGTAGAATCAAAGAAATAATAGACTAACGCATTGAATAAAATAGGAACTCATTAGTCCATATTAATATAAAACAAAGTGCACAAACAGAGACGTGAGAATATTTTTTTTCTTTACAATAGAAAAGGAAACTACAAATATGGATACAGTAATGGAGTTAGAAAAATCACAAGTAAGCAATAATCTTGAGTAAAAATAATTTAGGCAAAGAGCACTAATGGAGGCAAAATCTAGTGAGTGAAATTGTCAAGATCAGGATTTTATATACCCTTAAGTGTTTCTCCACAAAATATTAATAAAGGAAACAAAACTAATGGGTTTGATAAACATTTATTACTAATGAGAAGTGATAAAAAGAACATAATATTGGTGATTTTACATCAGAATATGCACTGAGTAAATCCAACTTGAGAGATGACTTACAAAATGATAGATATACTCTTTTAAAACAACATAAAGGAAATGGTTAGGAATCATTCACTTGAAGAGCACTAGAAAGAAAGAACTTCATGTAATATGTGAATTTGTATTAGATATTTTTGCTGTAAAAGACTTCATTGGTACAATTGTGAAAAAAAAAATCTCTTACTGAAGGGTATATGGGAGTTGTCTCTGCTATTCATGAAACATTTTATAAATCTGAAACAGTTTGAGATTTTTTTCCTCAAAGAAAAAATTTGAAAGAGACTATTGGAGAGTACAACACAGATAGTCATAAATTAAATAGAAATAAAATTATCTACCAACCACTAATGTCAGATTCTGCTAAAGCTTTTTYTCAATTATACCATTATGAAACTAGTCAAGTGCTAATAATTGTCCATTTCCATTTGTTATAAAACTATGTTGTAATGACACTAAATTATGCAGTATTCATGTTCATAGAGAGAATTAGGGACACATTATTGCCTAAACAGTACCTGGAGAGACCCAACTGTGGCACCATTCATGTAAGTCCAAAACAGCAAGGTACATTTTGGTCCCGTGAGTGAAATAACAGGAGTGAGGATGTCAGCCAGGTCACCAAATTTCCCATTTGAACTGTCAGCATACAGGTACCAGCCATCTGTGGTATTTCTGGGGAAAAGATTTATCAGATTGAAACAGAAGAAGAAGATCTTAAAACATAACATAGCTTGCCACTGACCATATTTTATTATCATACCATTTCTCCTAAAAGTACAAAGTTTTAGGAATAATTATGGTCTGTCATCTTCATCAGAAATAATTATACCATTTTGATTTTGAATTCATGGTCCTTGTAATGAGATCTATTGGTAGAAGGTCTATAAATTATGGTAAAGGCTGAACTGACCAAATCAGTAATAGAGCGGTTAATATTTTTCAAACAGTGATATTGTGAATATCCCTCATCTGCCTTTAGAACTAATCTTTATGGGGGTAAATGAGGCCATGAAGAATGGAATACCTTTAGAAGAYACATTTAAAAAAACATACAAATAAAAAGGCACAGGAAACAGAAGTAAAACTGGCATTCAACTCATAAGTCTAAAAGGATTTTGGTTCAAAGTTATTCTCTCCATATTACTTTAGGAGGTAAAGCATGTTTTTTCTTTCCTAGGCCCAATGTTTAAAAAGGAAAAATATAAACAATTATATAAGAATGYGCTATTGCAATAAAAATAGTTTACACCCCTACTTTATCAATTTGAAAAAGAAATAATGAAACATTAAGACACACTAGGTTATACATAGGCTTTTAAAGTATTAAAGAAACAATTTTTCATATTTTGAGACCAACTCTCCTGTTCTTCCTTTTATTAACTTGGTTTCTTGCCACTTTCTAAGTACAGTTGCTAGATATACAGAGTTTAAATCCGCTATTTACTAAACCCATTTTAATTTGAAAGTTTTACCATTTTTTGAGAAATGTGAATTATTAATAGGAAATAGGTAGGAAAACAGTCATATTCATTCATTCATGACTATTTATTGAGTGTTCTGCCCTAACAGACTTGCCAGTAGCTATCCAAGTCACTGGGGATATAATTGTCTGCAAAAGATTTGATGGAGCTTGGCCTCTGGCTTTGTCACTTACTAGATGGGCAACTTTGGGCAGGCTAACTTCTCTGAATGTATCCAGTTCTACATTTTATAAGATGGGATAGTTTTCTGTTTAAGGTCTCACTAAGAATTAGAATTAAATATGTGGAACATCTAACACAGTACCTAGTTGATCTTAGCATTAAGTCAATGGGAATTGTAATTTGTATTTATGTTCAGATCATTAGTTGTTGCTAATGATATAAGTTTAGAGTCCTACAAATCACAGAGATCATATGAGTTAAGACAGTTAAGAGAATGATCAGTAGGGTCACTATGTTAATTTGTCTATATTACATACATCTCAATGAAAAATCATTTTTAGCTTTATTCCTTGTGTGTTTAATATCCCAGTATCTCGATATCAAGAACAAAGACATATTTATACACTCAAGCAGGTAGAAGAAATGGAGATGATCAAGGAAATGCACTTGTGTATTTCTATATGTACACGACTCATTTAGTCTCAGAATCTTTCTGTAAGCAACTTGCAGAATTATCACAACTAAAATATTTTATTATAAAAATGATTTTAGAGTTACTGAAAATCTTCTACTATACAGCTTGTATTGTCCATACATCTCTAATTTTAATGCCACCATCTTAAAGCAAATGCATCTCATCTCTTGCCTAGAATGAGAAGCTTTGTAATGGGCCTTCCCACTTCTACATTTGATTCACTGCATCTATTCTTCACACATCACTTGGAAAACTCTTTTGAAARATAGAAATTGAATCATATCCACAAATCCACTCCTTCAAACCTGCTAATGGTTTTGTAATGGACTTAAAATACAATAATAATATTTAATATGTCAAACAAATCTCTATAATACCACTCTTCTGCCTCCCAATGGCTTCCCAATGTGTCCAATCAACTCTCCTGAGACAGTATTGCCTGACTCCAGCACAGCACTGTGCATGTGAATTTAAGGACTCATGTGTTTTAAATATGTCAGTTCTTCACCACTTGATTTACAGATCCATCAGGATCTCAACACACTCCCCCAAAATTTATTTTTCAGAATTTGGTAAAGTAATCCTAAAATAGAAATACAAATCAAATAGAAATACAAATAGAAAACAACAGGCCATCAATTTTATTTATAAGGAGAATAAAGCTGGAGGACTCSATGAGACTTAATAGGAACATTTAGTAATCAAATGATATGGTGTGTTTGTGCTTTGATCCAAATACCAAAGTAAAGGTAGAAGGAAGTGGTCTTGAGTAAGGTCATTAAGTCACCTTAATAGGATGACTGCTCTTATAAAAGACACCTGAGAGCACTAGCTAGCTCCTTCACATATAAGGATGCAGGAGACACTGTTCTTCCCAAGGACCAGGAAACAGACCCTCAACAGTCAGTTTGCTGACTCTTCACCTTGGACTTCCCAATCTCTAGAACTATGGGAAATAAATATTTCTTGTTTATAAGCCACCAGATTTTGGTATTTGATACAACAGCATGAGGATACTAAGACATTACGACAACAAGAACAGAAACCCCAGGAACTGGAAGAAATAGTCCTATAACAGATCTGAATTTATCTGGATATTTATTTTAAGAAAAGTTTGGTTCCTCAGAACAGTAAGGAAAGGATGATCTTTTTAGTAAATGAACTGAATACATTAGGTGTCCATGAGGGGAAGAAATTAACCTTGATCTGTATTTCATAGTATTCAAAAATAACAAATTCCGAGTAGACTATACCTGGAGGAAGGRAGATAAAACAATAAAGCTGTGTAAGATAATATAACAATATGAGCATAATGTGGGAATAAGAAAGTTCTTTACAAGYATATGAAAATCACTAAGTATAAAAGGACATATTAAGAAAGGGGACTGCCATTAAATTAAGGATTTCTGATTTTCATATATATTAATGTGATGATCAAAAAGCCAATGAGAGTATGAATTCTCACTTTTCCACATGTACAGATTGCAGGATCACATTGGTTATACAGTCACGTATATACATACAGTAATACTAGTGTCTGTTGTATTCTGTTGCCCTCCCTATCCCCTCTCCCCCTCCCATCACCTCTCTCTACCCAAACTACTGTGACACATTTCTTTTTTTTCTTCCCCCTCACATCAACATATATGTATTTTGTATAATGATGAGGGTCTCCTTCCATCTTCCGTGCAATTCCCCTTCTTCCTCCCATTCCTTCCCACCTCTCTTCCTTGTTTAGTGGTAATMTTTTTCTATTGTATTGTCTTGAGCAACTAATAAAAAAAATAAAAATTTAAAAATAAATAAATAAAAATGATAAATAAAGAGCAGAAAGATCAGTAGAATAGAGGGAAATGAATTAAAGGAGGGATGATGGGAGGGGAAGAGTGTCCTGGGGACTGAATTAGAACTTATTATATTCTATGCTTTTATAATTATGTCAAAATGAGTCTGATTGTTATGTGTAACTAAAAAGAACCAATAAAAAAGGCTAGAAAAAAAAATCCAATGAGAGAATGGAAGGAAATATTTGTATCACCTATAATGAAAGTAACAATTATTAAGTGCTTTCTATAGAATATGAACTATGCCAGATGTAACTGAATGTGATATCCCACAATGTTAATATAGTTACGTTTGTGTTTGATAGTAATGCCAATTTTGTTTCCTAGATACCATGCATAGTAGAGATTAGAGCCTCAAAAAGTACTTATTATGTAAAATAAAAGAGTTGAAAATTAAAACACATGTAAAAATAAAAAGAGTAAGTAAGTGACAGAAATTGTTGGCTAGACAAAATTATAGCTCTCCCTCAGCACCTATKGAGATTGGTTCCAGGACCCTTGTTGCCCCTGCCCCCCTACAGATAGCCATAATCCCCAGATGCTCATGTTCCTTATAACAAATGACATCATATTTGCATCACATTCACATGTGAGGATGCAGGAGACACTGTCCTTCTCTAATCTAAGCACATCCCCTTCTAAATCCCCTCTAAAGTACCTGTTATATCTAATACAATGTAAATCCTATCTAAATAATCGCTATACTGTATTGTTCAGGGAAAGAGGACAAGAAAAAAGTCTGTTCAATACACACAAATTATTTTTTTCAAATATTTTTTACCTGTAACTTGTTGAACCCTAGGATGCAGATCCACACCTATAAAGGGCTGATTAACATTTAAAAAAAAATGGTCACTGTTCTAGGCTGAAGCAAAAAAAAAAAAAAAAAGAAACAGCAAAAATAAAAACAAAACAATATAAACAAACAAAAAGTACCTGTAAGAAAGGATCCAGTAAAGTTAATAGATACAGAGACCATGAAGAAATTAAAAATCTAAGTCACAATTATGGCAATAGTAAAAGCAATGAATCAGTGGTTCTTTAAATAGAGGTTCCTTTGTTAATTTCCTAGAAACTACACAGGTGGGAAAAACAAAATTTATGCTTCATTTCCTTAATCAAATATCATTCTAGAAAATTCAGTTACAAGGACAGATATAAGATGACTTATGAAAACAATTCTCTAAAATTCTACATCTCTAAAATATCCCTTATACCTGCCAAGAACAGGAAAAAGAGAGAGATGTCAGGAGATCAATTTGAAAAATGCAAACAGCAGAACTTCATTTGTGTTTTTATATCAAACTAAGCACCCAGCACCGGTGTAAAAGTAAATCATTTGGTCACCAGTGTTACAGATATTAATTGGGGGCACATGATGTATGTATGATTCCTAATGGAAAAATGAAGAATTACACAAATACTGGCCTGTGTCTGGGATGAGATTATTCAAGCTTGTACCTGCAGAGGAAATCAGCTCCTCTTCTAGAAGGAGTATAGCCATAATCAGCATAACCAACAGTGTTGTCACCCATAAAATATCAGCATGTCTCTACCAACCTTCAAATTATGTTTTCTCATACACAGCAGGAAAGAGGATGTGTTATAGAAACATATCTTTTCCTAATAAAACATATCATAAACCATGTAGTAAAGTTTTTAAGAAAGTTGTGACTCTGYTTTCAAATGTTCCAAAGGAGCCAAGGTGAT